GTTTTGTTCAGCTGACACCTAAACGCATTTGGCTCTAAGCGTTTATTTATCCGTTCGGTACATTTCGGTTTTAGGTGTTTAATGAAAGCAAAGAAGAATAGTTATAGATTGTCGGTTTAACAGTGACCCCCCCCCAAAAAAAAAAAAATTACGTGCTTTCCATCTACCATGATTTTTATGCTTCCTTAGACTTACGACCATATCACGTTGAAACACCGGTTATCGTAAAATCACCAAAGTTAACCAACGTCGATGTTGTTAAGAAGAATATGGGAGACTATCTTGATCTTCTTTCCATCGAAGACTTTTATTTCTGGTTCTCTTGAGAATAAGACTTACTGCCATATCACGTTGAAACACCATTCTCGTTCGATCACCGAAGTTAAGCAATGGGTCACGATGGGTGACTGTTTGGGAATACCAAGTGAGACAATCGTGGATGTGCAGATGGTGTAATAGCTAATAATTCCGAATTCTTAATCGGAGAGCCGAGTTCCAATTTCAGTTGGATTCGTTATATTCACTTAATTTCTTTCGGATGGTATGAATCCACCTTCTATATGGTGGACTCTCCCGTTGTATTCGACGTATGAGGGTCAGCAACTCAGTTCCTAGGAATCGACAGCCAAACACATGATTCGATTTTAGTAGTGAAGGATTTTTGAAGGGTCGAATACAGAGACCTCCGCAGGTTTTAAATTCAGAGTTGTCCTTCTAGACCAGTTGTCATCCAAGGCTATAGAACCCAGTCTGTCCTGCTATTTTACCCATAGCTGGGGGAGAAGAGGAGGATTATAGCTTTCCCAAGGGTATGAGCACGTAAGTGAATGTAATGGATTCGAACTCGGCTTTCCGATTCCACAATCCGAGCCGCTATCTACTACTCCACCGTGCCCCCCTCTATATACGTCTTAACCAGCTCGTCGAGCACAAGATCTATGTTGTTACTTTTAATGACATAGATCTTGTGCCTGACTAGTTTGTAATCCAGCGAAACATTACTCGCGCACCAAAACATAGGTACACGTATATGTACTAATTAATATATATATATATATATATATATATATATATATATATACTAGCAGCATGGCCCGGCGTTGCCCGTGCTTGATTCAAAAATCGTACGACTCATATAGCAATCGCTATCACTTGACTTAAAATATTTTGTCCTTCCTTGCCTTTAAAGGAGTGCCCTTTGCCGTGCTGATGTTGCTACATGCCTTACTTCTTGCCTATCTCACACTGCGAATTTTTTCTAAGCTCTATACTAAACATTAAATCTGTTACGAAAAAAGAACTAAACAAAATGAACACAAAACGATCAGCTTTAAAAAAGGACTCGTAACTGGAAAAACCGAATGAAAAAAGAATGTTAACAACAAATACTTTTTCACACCCAACACAGTTCTGCGGAATCAGAATCAACGTTGAGTTTAAGCAAGCGAATGAGCCAATTGGAGTAAAGTGCCATGCAGATTTAAAATTTTCCCAATTGTGACGAATGCAGCTATCGATTTTTTTTGCATGCTAGCATGCTAGTTAACATTCGTGTCAGTCAGCTGTTGGCTCTCACGCTGGCCAATAGAATCTTCCTGCCTATTCGTGGCAGCCAGCTATTGGCTATCACTCTGGCCAGTACAAAATGGCCGCAAACTACATGAAAACTGCCGTAGAAGCATAAACAAATTGATTATTTCCACTATCGATGGGAGTTGGGAAATGCAAAGTCGGTGTTGGCCTTTCCGCTAACTTGGAGCATGTGCATGTAAATTTTGATGCAAATCCGTCGAAAATTGCGACCGTGCATTCGTTACACACAAACATCCTGCCTTTTATAGATAGAGATAAGACATTTTTTATATTTATACGTTCTTTTTATAAAAAAAAAATGTCTTAAAAAATAATTGTCGGACTTTGTCCATTTCATAATACACATATCATTATATATAATATACACATATCATTATAGTTCGGTATATATATATATATATATATATATATATATATATGTGTGTGTGTGTGTGTGTGTGTGTGTGTGTGTGTGTGTGTGTGTGTGTGTGCGTGAGTGTATGTCTGTGCGTGTAAATTAATGAAACTTGTATCACTAATTCATTATTATCTAAAAAAAAAAAAGAGATGAATTCTTACAATCTATCTATATATATATATATTTTCTGGCTTTAAATAACCTGCAAAAGATTGACAAACCGTAAAAAACGAATAGATCATTTCATCTTTGCTTTCTCCCTATTTCACAATTCCTTTTATTTGTAATTGTTGTACATTATCTCCGGCTTCTTTTAGTTCCATTTTTTTTTTCAGCCGGGACTGCCAATAGTCTCTCGTCCTGGGTATGAAGATAAGCTACATCCTGCAGCATCTATTTCCGACACGAACTCAGTTTATACCGGGGTTAAATAAAACTGACGAATATTTTCGTCGGTCGAAATAAGCTTATTCCCAATATGAGGTGATTTTGGATTTTATTGTGTATTACTTTTTGCTCTGTAATACTAAATACATTGAGCCCTTTTTGTTTCAGTTTTAATATTTTATATTACTAGGGTTCACTTGGTTTATATACGAACGGATTTATTACCTTTACTATATATATATATATATATATATATATATATATATATATATATATATATGTGTGTGTGTGTGTGTGTGTGTGTGTGTGTGTGTGTGAAAAGTGTGTATATAAATATATATATATATATATATATATAATTATTTATATATTATATGCGCGCATATACACAGTCATCAAAAACAAACAAATAACCAGCTTTAAATATAACAAATAAACCTCTTTTTTTAAAAATTAAAAATAAAAATAATAATAATTTTTACCTATCATAATTTTACACAGACCCCACGACACGTATATACATACATGCGAGGAAATATTATTCAGTAGAAAAATAGAAAAACGCTCTGATTTTTGACATGTATACATTCACGAGAAACTTTCGCTACACTTCCAATCTTTGAATTTCAACATACAAATATGTATGTATAGACACAACACCACCCATATACATACATATGTCAAATCCGAAACTGTCCACATATGTTTATGTCTGTATGAGTCCCGACGGACGACCAAGTGTGTATGTGTGTCTCCGTACCTCATCGGGCGTATGAACATGCATCTATGTTTGCGTTAGCACGATGACATCACGACGACGATTCCCCACCCACTTCCATAATAACACCAATACACGCAATCTACATAAAACCAAATTTAAAAAAAAAATTAATCAGTTTGTCTGACGATCGCAAAAGCGTGAGACCCAGGGTCACAAACTCACATCAATCCAACCAAATATATATATATATATATATATATATATATATATATATATATATATATAGTAATTAATTCAAAATTTATAAAATGTCCGTTTTCATTCACTTTTCATGTGATATTGTGAATAGGACAAGAACAGTGCGGGTGGATTCAAGACACCGGAACAAGGAATGTGATATTTACGCTCAGAATCATATGAGAAAGATCAATACAAATGCCAAAGGATGTATACTTATGTTTGTGTATACCTATGTTATGTTTTATAGTTTATAAAAAAAGCTTTTGATGAAGTACGTCACCAAGAACTATTTGAACTGCTAGGTAAGTAATTCAGTAAAGAGTTTTAGAGAAAATGACAACAAAAAGGACACGTAAGCCTGACATCAGAAATAGACAGTTGAAATTTCTGCGGTTCATAGTTAGGAAAGAGCTATTCGCAAATTTGACACTCATACTAATTATATGACAACTGAGCATAAAAGTTTTGTATCTATCCACACCCACAGACACACACACACACATATATATATAAGTGAACATTGAAGTCAACACTTAGAGGCGACAGGCTGTTTCATGATAGACACAACTGCGTCTAGCCTGAAACAGCCTGTCGCCTCTAAGTGTTGACTTCAATGTTCACTTTTATATTTACACATGCTCTCTCTGATATTGAGCGCTTTATCCCATAAATATAGCACATCATAGGACTATATTTCTTCATTACATATATATATATATATATATATATATATATATCAAGCACCCTACACAAAATATTCAACAAAAACACTGTAAAAATCAGCTACAGCTGCACCGAGAACATGGCACAAATAATAAAAAAGCACAACAGGGAAATTATCAACAAACCCCACGAACAAATTAAACCCACGTGCAACTGAAGAATAAAGAACGAATGTCCCTTAAACGGAAATTGTTTACAAAACAACGTAATATACCAAGCTACGATAAAATCACCAGATAATGAAGAAAAAGTATGCATAGGAGTAACTGAAGGACCCTGGAAACAAAGAAATTATACACACAAAACATCTTTCATAAATAGTAAATATACGAAAAGTACAATGCTTTCTAAGTATATCTGGGAAATTAAAAACAAAACGCATGTCACACCAAAAATATCTTGAAAAATAAGGAAAAGATCATCAGCCTACAACAACCAATCAAAAACTTGCAAACTTTCCTTGGAGGAAAAATAGCTATCATTACTTTCCCAGACCAAAATAAATTATTAAATAAAAGATCCGAGCTCATCTCAAAATGCAGACATGAAAACAAATTTTTATTACGTTACTTAAAAATTGAAAACGGAAAAAATAAAATAAAAACAAATAAATAAACAAAATAACAATATAATAAGAAAAATTAATTAATCCAAACAAATTACCAAATCACACCTGTTAGAATAGACGAAATAGAATAATAATAATAACTAAAAAACAAAAAAACAACGAACCCAAATAAATAAAGTAAATAATAAACAAATTAGCAAACCATTATGACTAAAATATTAATCAAACCAAAAAATCGGACGAAAAAATAGCTATAACTGTTATATAAAGATAAAAAATAAATAAATAAATAAAAATAAATAAATAAATAAATACTACATTACTTAAAAATTGAAAACCGAAAAGAGAAAATATACAAATAAATAATAACA